GATTGGGTTTCATGATATTAGCGAATCATATTTTGCCGGATCGGTAAAATATTAATTTCCAATATAATATATTAATTAAAAATTTTAAATAAAATTTATATTAGAGTATATATTATAATATATTCTAATATATATTTAAATATATATTGTTTTGTATAATTTTTATACCGCTATAGGTATTAAATTATACAAAAATACAATAATTGTAATAATAATAATATTTATAATAATGATAATCATAATAATAATAATATTTATAATAATAATAATAATAATATATAAATAAATAAATAAATAAATAAATAAATAAATAAATAAATAAATAAATAAATTATATATTTATTATTATAAGTATTAATATTATATATTATTATAAATATTATATAATTATTATTTTAATATTATATAATTATTATTTTATAAAATATTATTTATTATCCATTATTTATATTTACTAATATATTTTTAATTATTAATTTTTAATATATTAATTAGTTTTGTTTTTTATAAAGTTATTATTATTACTATGTCTATTTATAGTAAAAAATTTATAATAAATTATGTAAAAAAAAAAAAAAAAATTTTTTATAATAATATGGAGTAGTTAATTGTTATTTAAGATTTATTAGCAAAGAGAATGCATTTAATTAAATAGTATATAGTACTTTTTATAATAATTTATTATTATTATTTTTTTAAAATATTATACAAATTTAATTAAATGTCATGTTCTTCTATAAAATAATATTTTAATTAATAGTATTAATATATGATAGGGTTAACTCTTTTTCTTTTTTTAAAATAGATTACATATTGTATAAAAATATAATAAAAAATTATTTTTATCAAATATGATATGAAAGAAATGGAATTATTTTGCAATGTTTATAATATAATATTATTTTTATTCTACTCTAAATAACTTTTACGAATAAAAATAAATTTATTTCTTCATATTTTATGATGTGAAAGAGTATATTCATTTTAATTTTTGCGGAAGGATAATAAATTATATAACAAATTAATATTTTAGTTTTTATTTTTACATTTTTTAAATTTTCGTTTGGTGTTATTTTGTATAATTGATAATAATTGATAATATAATTTAACATAATATAATAATTAGATAGATTGGTAATTGAATGATATAATTATCATTTAATTATATTATCCTTAATTTTAACTTTAAACGGTAGTTTTAATTATTTCATAAAGTATATATTTTTTAGTTTTCTTTCTTTTTTCGTTTTTTTTTTTTTTTAATGGGATATTTAAAATTGCATAAGAAAAATTATGGTTATATTTTATTATACCATTTACCTTTTATAATAAATTAATTATATTATTATATTATTTAAGATTTTACATTTATATTTAAAATTCTATAAAATTATTATTAATTTTAAAATTATAATATCCTTAAATTTATTAATAGTTTTTTTTTTTTTTTTTTTTTTTTTTTATTTTATCATTTAGAAATTTTTTTATCTTTCGTTCCTCTTCAATGAAATTTCATTTTTTTTTTTTTTTTTGGAACAAATAATTTTTTTTCTTATATTGTATTATGTATTGTAATATATAAAATTGATAAATTGTTTAATATATTACAATATATTATAATTATAAATCACATATATTAATAATATAAATTTGATATATGGAAAATAGGTTCTTTTTTTTTTTTTTTTTTTTTTTTTTTAATTTATTATTTATTATAGTTTAAATTAATATATAACATTTAATGATTTTAACCATTTATATTTATTATAATATATTTTATAATATATTATTTATTGATCATTATTGGATTATAATACAAAAAAAATTTTTTTTATATATTTAAAAAAGTGAAAAATACTTTTTTTTTTTTTTTTTTTCTTCACAACTTCTCTTAATTTTGATTTTGTAATATATTTATATTATTTAATATAAAAAAATGCAAGCTTTATTAAATCAATCTAACGGATTACTCAAAAAGACTTCCTTAATTGGTTGTCAAAGAGGTTTAGCTACCATGAGTGAAGCTATTAAGGAACGTATTAGAATGCCATCTATGCTTAACAAGGTTACTTACAACCCAGATGATGTTACTAAGCACTGTTTCAATGACATGCACATGGGTTGGTCTGGTTTCACTGGTGTTGGTTACCCAAAGGTAAATATGAATTATATATATACATACAGATATAAAATTATATTTTCTTTTTTAGGAAGAAATAATTAAAAAATTAGAAAAGTAAATTTTTTATAGAAAAAATTTAAATACCAAGATGAATAATAAATCATAAATAAATAAAAAATGGATCAAAGTTTGATAGTTTAAATGAATAAAAAAATTTACTAAATCAATAAATTATGAGGAAAATGAATAAAGATAAATACAAGAAGTAATATTAAAAATGTAAATGATAATAATTGAAAAGTAACAATATGATGGAAGAGTTTATGAATAGATTGTTTTTCTTTAATATATTAAAAAAAAGGAATGAAGATAAAATGAGATCTTATTAGGATAATAAATAAAATATTTGATTTTCTTACATTATACATATTTTCCTAAAATAGATAATATTTTTTAAAAAAAACATTAGATGAATAATAAATGAAATATTAAATAATTAATATTATAAAATAATTTAATAAATAGGTCGTTCCAGAAATGATGGCCCAAATGGTTGAAAAGAAGAACCTTAAGGGTAAGTTTGGTATCAGTTTAGTTATTGGTGCTTCTGCTGGTGCTGCCACCCACAACAGATTAGCTAAATTAGATATGCTTAAGTTCCAAGCTCCTTTCCAAAATGCTAAGGATGTTAAGACTTGCATTAACACTGGTAAGACTAACTTTGCTGATACTCACCTTTCCAAGTTCCCATTAGATTTATTATACGGTTACTACGCTTTAGATAAGAAGGTTGATCCAGAATTCCCACTTGATGTTGGTGTTCTTGAAGCTTCTGCTATTACTGAAGATGGTTTAATTATCCCAACTGCTTCTGTCGGTAGTTCTAACATTATTGCTCAAGTTGCTAAGAAACTTATTATTGAAATTAACACTGCTGAACCATCATTCGAAGGTATGCATGATATTGAACATTCTAACCCACCAAACTGTGGTCCACTTATGATTAACCACGTTGGTGACAGAATTGGTTCTAAGGGTATTAAGGTTGATCCAAGTAAGATTGTTGCTATTGTTGAATCTACTACTCCAGATAAGACTCCAAATAACACTAAGCCAGATGCTAAGTCTCAAGCTATTGCTAATCACATTGTTGATTTCTTCAACCAAGAAGTTAAGGCTGGACGTATGCCAAAGAGTCTTTACCCACTCCAATCTGGTATTGGTAATGTTGCCAACGCTGTTGTTTCTGGTCTTGTTGACTCTCCATACGAACACGTTACTGTCTTCACTGAAGTCTTACAAGATTGTTTCCTTGATTTCTTCGACAAGGGTAAGCTTGATCATGCCTCTGCTACCTCTATTCGTCTTTCCCCAGATGGTTTCAAGAGATTCTACGCTAACAAGGACAAATACGCTCCAAAGATTACTCTTCGTTCTCAACATATCTCTAACTCTCCAGAATTAATTAGACGTTTTGGTGTTATTGCTATGAACACTCCAGTTGAATTCGATATCTACGGTCATGTTAACTCTACTTGTGTTATGGGTACTCGTATGATCAATGGTGTTGGTGGTTCTGGTGATTTCCTTCGTAACGCTAAGTACTCTATTGTTCATGGTCCAGCTTGCAGAAAGAGTAAGAACGATAAGTTCGGTATCTCTACTGTTGTTCCAATGGTTACCCACTGTGATCACCCAGAACACGATTTAGATGTCTTAGTTACCGATATTGGTCTTGCTGATATTCGTGGTTTAGCTCCAAGACAACGTGTTGACAAGATTATTGATAACTGTGCTCACCCAGTTTACCGTCCAATTCTTCACGAATACTACGATCTTGCTTATGATGAATGTCTTAAGCGTAAGGCTGCTCATGAACCACAATTACTTGACAAGGCTTTCAAGATGACCTTAAACCTTCAAAAGAACGGTACCATGAGAATTGACAACTGGAACTAAGTTTCTTAAAAATTAATTTAAATTAGCCATCCCTCCTTTTTTTTTTAATCTTTTAGAATTTATAAAAATAAAAAAAGGAATTATCATTAGAATCTTTAAAAAAAAATATACCAAAGAAAAGATAGAAATTAAAAAGTATTTTTTTTCTTTTTCTTCTTATTTTTTCATTTGGGGAATTTTTTAAATAATAAGAAAAAAGAAACGAAAAATAAAAAATTGAATAAAATGCAAGTTTTTTTTTTTTTGAGTATCCATTAATTTAATTAAAAAGAAGGAATAATAACAAGAAAAAAATATTTCGAAGAAAGAAAGCTTTAATTTATTTTTTTTTTGTAAATTATATAAAATCTTAAGTTTTTTAAAAATTTAATAATAATAATAAAGCAAAATAAAATCAAAAATAATATTAAATAAAAAATAAAATAAAATAAAATAATATAATAAAAATAATATATAAAAAAAAAAAAAACAAAAAATAATTTAGGAAATTAACACAAAAAAAAAAAAAAAACTAATAATAATAATAATAATAATAAAAATAATTTATTTATTTAGATTAAAATCAAAAATCAAAAATCATTCATCGTTAATAAAATTTTTCTATTCTTTTTTAATAATAAAAAAAATAATAGGAAAAGTATTTATAAATATTTTTTAAAAATATGAAATTAATTAATATAAATAAAAATATAATAAAAAAAAAATAATTAAAAAAAAAAGAAAAATTTTATTGATTATGATTGGTTGATGATATAATTATAGTTGAAAAAAAAGTGGTTGTGGTTTAATTTATGTTGTTTAAAAAAAATTATTTGTGGGGAAAAAAGTATTATTTATATATTTTTTTTAAGGTAGAAGGTAAAATTTTTATTTAGATAAAATTTACCTAATGTAGAACGTCAATTTTTGGCGAGAAGGTGTCAGTTTGTCCGAGTGGTTAAGGAGTTTGACTCGAAATCAAATAGGCTCTGCCTGCGCAGGTTCAAATCCTGCAGCTGACGTCAATAACTTTTTATTGAACTTATTCTTTTTTTTCTTTTTTTTTTTTTTTTTTATTAAAAAAAAAAAGATAGATGTTAAAAAAAAGGTATGTTATAATTTTTTATTGTGGGTCCCTCTGGGATAGAGTTTTATCCATCGGAACTCCTGAGGCATTGCAAATTCGGATGCCAATGGTGGTACAATTTGATATGAGTACTATATCAAATTGGGCATTATGCACAGTGATAATGTTTGGTTTATTTTTTTTTTTTTTAGTACTATTTTATATCAAAAAAGAACCCATAATGATTTCTCAGAGGAAACCATTCTTTTTTTTTTGTACGGTACAATTATTGGCCTGCATACTGAACCTTTTAATTGGATATTATACTCAGCGATAATATATGGAAAAAATTAAGAATTATGCGCAACGGTAATGTTTGGGAAAAATTTTCAGTAGTATATAGGTTTCTTTTGTCTTTTAGACAAATAAATCAAAAATTCTTTCTTACCCATATATATAAGTAATAATTATTTCAAACATACTACAAATCAATTAATTATTTGAAAATTTCAGAAGTACTACATATTTTAAGAAATACAGCGATCAATAAATAAATTTACAAACTAAAGCGAAAAAATACAATATCAATGAAAATTAATATACTTATTCAATTTTTTAGTCTATCTTTTCTTCAACTTAATTCTCATCAAGTTTTTCAAGTTTTTATTTTTTTTATCTTTTTATATATATATTTACATATATTTCTTTTTTTATATATTTTATATCTATACTTATTTCTATTAAAAAAAAAAAAAAAAGAAAAAAAAATTGTGGGTTTGTTAATTTATATCAATTATAATTATCAATAATAAAATTCCCATTTATAAAAGATTAGTAATATTAATAATAATAGTATAAAAATATAACACATAAAATATAACACATATTTAACAAAACCTCCAATGGTTGTTAAAATTAACAAATGTTATAAATGTTGTCATAGGTACATACCAACCTCTCCAGGAACGTCAATACTGATAACACAGTAGGAGAGTCTAATAGGGCAAATGCCAATTCTATTATCGACCAAAGTGAAATAGGATAAATCAATTTTACTTTAATTTTATATGTAGAATTAAGAGCTTGTATGGATTTATTGTTTTTACATATTATTATACTACTTTTTTTTCCTCTCCAAGTATTTTTCATTATTATCTATAATGTTTAAACAGGTTTTTTATTTTATTTAGTATCATTTTTCTTTTTTTTATTATATATATATTTTTTTTATGATTCATGTATATTAATATTTAAACTCAATCAAGATAATGTACGAATTGTGCGCTATAAAAAAAAAAAAAAAAATGTTTAAGGGGTCAGGCTGTTTCTGATACATATACAAAATCTCCATTCTTGTTGCGATCTGCGGCTCTACTGAATGATATCATGCCTGTTGTCTGTAAAAGACAACATATATTGTTCAATAAATTCAAGACCAACTTCTCCAGGAAGGAATGTCAATACTGATAACACAATAGGACAGCCTAGTAGGGCAAATACCGATCCTATTACCGACCCAAGTGGAATAGGATACTTTAATTCCATATGTAGAAATAAGGGCTATATAACTATATCTAATTTTTCTTATTAGTATCATTTTTTTTTTTTTTTTTTTTTTTTTATTTTGTGTTTTTTTATGATTCATGTATATTAATATTTAAACTCAGTAAAAATGATGTACAAATTGTGTTCTTTAAAAAAAAAATATTGTTATTATTTCCATTGTAAATATATATTCTTTCGGATTCTCCTCATTTGATAATAATAATAAGAACACTTCTGGAGACTTCAAGGGTATCAAAAAGATAAATGTACTTTAAAAAAAAAAAAAAAAAAAAAGAAAAATTGAAAAGATGAAGTATGTAATTTATTTCGATATGAATTCGAGTGGTATTCTATTTGTTGAATAAGAGAGATTAGAAGTTTAACTTCTTTTCCCTTTTGATTATTTAATATTTTTAATTTGATTAATATTTATAAAAAATTTTATTATTTTTTTTTGTATCATTTATTACTTTTATTTATTTTACATTTCATGTATTATATATCCTTTACTTTAATATAATAAATATGTCACATGCATGTTTAAATTAAATTAATAATTTTAAATAAAGATTAATCGAGTCTAAAAAAACAAAAAAGGTAAATATTTTGAAAATATTTATAACTAATATTATTTTTTTCTTTTATCTTTTTTTTATTAATATCTTTATTATTATTTAGAAGTAACAAGATAACTGCCTACTATAAAAATATTCATATTATTATTATATATAATATTGTATAAAAATAAAAATATTATATTGTATTAATTTTCTATATTATTTTTTATGAATTTTTATTAATAGTATAATCTTTTTAAAACTATTTAAACATATATATATATTAATAACTTTTATAATTAATCTTTAATAATATTAAACTTTTATATATAATAATTTTCTATATATATGTTTATTCATTTTCATATTATTTTATTTTATTTTATATATGAAAGAAATTATTAATGAAAAAGTGTTTTAATTCTTTATATTAATAATATATTATAAGAAAAGAAAATATAAATAATTATTTTATAATACTATTTTATATTTTTAATTTATTTATATTTTTTTCTTCGTATTTTTTTTTCCTTGGTATTTATATTTTATTATTGTTATGATTATTTTTAATTTATTTCTATTTTTGTTATTATTATTTTTTTTAATTTTTTTTTCTTTCTATCTTTTCAAATGATCACGTTCTAAATGATTAATTTTTATTTATTATAATTATAAAATATACAATATTATTATTTTATATCTTATATTAAAAGATATTCTTTTTCTCAAGATTTTATACTTTTTTTAAAAAAAAAGATAAATATAAAAAAAAATAAAAAGTATACTAAGTTTTTTCACTTATTTTTAATAAATTATTCACGTTCCAAAATTTAAAAGAAAAGTGGATAATTTTCATTTAATTGTTTATTTTGATTGAATAAAATTTATTATTTTAAATTTTATATTTATAATAAATTTAAATAAAAATAAACAATTAATGATGTTGTTGCACACGTGATAATATATTATATATTTAATTTTATTTTTTTTTAAAAAAAATAAATTTGGTAAAACTTAACTTGAATCATCCATTTAATGTGAAAATTGTACTACCAATAAAAAAATTAATATTTTTAATAAATTTTTATTATTTTTATAATATATAAATTATTAAAAAAAAAAAAAAAGTCCTTGAATTATTTTTATTACTTTTACTTTATAAAAAACACATATTTTTTTTTCTATTATATTATTTAAAGCTAAAATAAAATATAATAATCATAAAAAAGATTATTATAATAAATTATAGGGATAATAATTATTATTATAATAATTAATTAATTAATATATATCATATTACATAATATAATTAATTGTTGATTAATTGTTCCATAGCAACTAAATCATATATATATATATATAAAGATGTATTAATATTTTTATATTATTTAAAGTTTAACATTAGTAATAATAATAATATATTATAATTGATGTATTTTTATTCATTGTAACATTTTTCTTTCTTTTCTCTTTTATTTAGTATTCTTTAAATGGTATATTAATTACATAAAAAGGTTAACTTTTTTAATTGAATAGTTTTTTTTTCTTTTCATTTTAATTATATTTTATAGTTTATATTTCTTAAATAATTGAATTGAATTTTAATTAATAAGAATTAAAATAAGATACATTTATATTATATTAGGATCAATTTATAATATAATAACATTAATAATTATTATAAATTTACAACTTTATTTAAAATCACATTATCATATTAAAACAAAAAATAAAATATATACTATAATGAAATAAAATAAATAAAATAAAATATAGAATAAAATAAGATAAAATAGAATAAGATAAAATAAATAAAATAAAATAATTAATTTTATTTTATATATTATAATCAATAAAATATTTTTTTTAATAAAAAAATATTTTATTGATTTATTACGTAATGTATGAAATTCATAAATATACTTATTTATTATTGGTTGATTTTTTCAATTTATCAGAATTTAGTTCAATGAAATGATTTCGTTTTAATATTAATTAAATACATTTCAAATACATTATTAAATATATATTACATTAATAATTCCCAATTTAATGTTTTTTTTTTTTAATCAACATCAAAATTTTAATTTAAAAATAAAAAAAAAAAAAAAAAAAAACAAAAAAAATAAAAAAAAAAAAAAAACAAAAATAAAAATAAAAAAATTAAAAAAATTTTTTATTGATTTATTAAATAATATATATTCAATATAAAATAAGTATAAAATAAATATATAACAATATATACATGAATATACTTCTTTAATTTATTATATCATTAATTAATATATAAATAATAATAATAACTAAGAAGTAAATAAATATATATAATATAATTTATTTATTATTTATTTATTTATTTATTTATTCTTAAATAAATAATATAAAATAATTTCTTTATTTATATTATAAATTTAATATAATTTTTTAAAAAAATTTTTTTTATAAAATCAAAAATTTTATTTTAGAATGTTTAATTACTTACCGTATTAAATGTTTTTTGTTTTAATAGCTTTGTAAATGTAATTTAATATTTTTTTTTAAGGATATAGGTGAAACAATGAATTATAATTAAAATAAAAAAGAATACTAATTTTAAAATATAAATATAAAAAATATAAAATATAAAAATAATAAATAAACTAATTAAAAACATTAGTTTAATTATTGCTATAAAAAATAAAAGAAATTTCATTGTTATTTTTTTTTTAAAAAAAAAAAACAATCTTTATAGATTTCATTTATTCATCTTTATTCATCTTTATTTTTCTTAATTTTTTTTTTTTTGAGGAATATAGAAAGAATTTATATAATATTAATAATATTTTAAATAATATATAGAAATATAAATATTTAG